TACTCACTAACCTGCTGTATGCAATGCAATCTGTTGTACTCAGCAGGTAATAATTTCCTGATGCATAGCATTTGATCTACAACACTGGATTTTAGGGAGATGTAAAACTATAAAACCAAACAGGAGCTTCAGCTTCTAGATAAGGGATGTCTCCCCCTGGGAAACAAACATGGCATTTTAAAACTGTGGCATTTGGATTCTAAGCACATCCTGGTAGGTAGTCAGGCTTTGAGTCTGTAAAGTAATTCTAAGTCTTTCACTGAGATGTGTGAATGGCTCAGATGTAACTTCTCTCTCCTTTGTATATAGCAGACATTACTGGTGAATCTCAACACTGTGCCTAGGATTGCCTTAAAGTCTCCACACAGCCCTGGAGACAGCACACCTCAATGGATCATAGTAGACTCTAGAGGACTCCTCAGAATCTCTTCATCTAAGGTGATCTTGCATAAACCATTTCACCTGCCATTTGTGAATCTCACTGACCGGCTTGCGTGGATGGAGAGCGGCCTCGCGGGTGCGGAGTTCAGTAGGAAGAAGTGCAGGTGTAAGGCTTCAACTGGGTCATCCTGCTTCAGGGGATTGGCTCTCAAACGGAGTATTTTTCCTAGTCCGCAATAGACACGTCACTCGCTCCCTCCCTGCTGGCCCTGGCAGAGAGAAAGGGAGAGACAGGGATGAAGGGCTGCCATACCTTCCAGGTGTCCCTTAATGCAGTCCAATGTGGCCACCACAGGGCCTCTCTGCTTGCCTGCAGATATCCTTTTGAGCGTTCAATTAAAAGGGACATTTGCTGACGTCTGTACATGGTGTGCCTGGTCCTGGCGGTTTGAACATTTTGGCTTCCAGTGTCTATGTTTATAACATTTGGGAGATACTGTTTTGTTCAGGTGCAAACAGCAGTATTTCTAAAGCCTGGGCAATTTTGTGTTTACTTGAAGCTTCCTTAAAGTCTCCATTTCCTCAGCAACTGAGATAATATTTTTTTTTTCAAAACTTTCTTGCAATGACTACAGTTCTCTTAGCATTAAAAAAAAATGAGACTTGGAACAAGGCATGAACAGTATCTGTCACAAATCCCCTGCCGAAAGGTTTCCAAAGTAACACTGAGAAGTTTCAGTTTTTAAATCCTTGAATCACATTCTGAGAAAGGTTAGGAATAAGAGGAACATAATAAGAACTCTAGATTTCTTTGTCCATAAAATGAGCATAACAATACCTCCTCAGATCTTTGTTGAAGCAATGAAAAAAATGAGTGGATTCCTTGGTGATTTTGGAAGTAGAGAAGACCCACTGACCATTTCACAAAGCCCAGAGATAATCAACACACTCATATAATTTTTATTTTATATTTATGTACTTGTTTATTTTTGAGACAGGGTCTCACTTTGTAGTCGTGGCTGGCTTCAAACTTGCTATCTAGACTGGGATGGCCTTCAACTCACCTGCCTCTGCCTCCCACTTGCTTGGATTAAAGGTGTGTGCCACCACATACACATCTTTTAAATAAGCAAAGTAAATAAAAGAGAAAACGTGCACATAGTTGTCGCCTTACCAAAAACAAAGAACTAATCCCTTTCATATATAAAGAGCTGCTAGAAACCGAGAAGCAAGATGTTTGAAGGGGTCACAAACAAATGATTTACAGGAAGAAATAAATACAAATAGCCCTTGTATGTGTTCATCTCTCTATCTCTCTTTCTCCCTCCTTCCCTCTGTGTGTGTAATGAGTCTCCATTTCACTCACAATAAGAGGCAAAGCAAAGTGAAATCACATCGAAGCAGCACTTCTCACCTATCGGACTGGCACAGCCCCAAAAGTGTAAAACCACTCTGTTGGCAAGGCTGCAGAGAAGCAGGCGCTACGATACACTGCTGGTAGGGGTGCCAACGGCCCAGCCCATGCAGAGGGCGGCTTGGCATTCTTCATCCACACTGAAAATTCATTTACCCTTTGACCCAGTAATCCCACTTCTGGGAATTTATCCTACAGATTGCAGACATCTACAGGCATACACATTCAGTCTCTCTCTGTGTGTATTGTGCATTCACGCATATACATATATATGCAGTCTCTATCTATGTGTGTGTGTGTGTGTGTGTGTGTGTGTGTGTGTGTGTGTGTGTGTGTGTGTGTACATATGTGTGTATCTCTCCCTTTGCCTTTGGGAAACACCATTCTATTCTGTTTTATGAATCTGACAGTTTCATATTTCAATCTAAGAGAAATCAAACAGTACTGCCCTTCTCTTGTCTGCTGCACAATGTCTGTCCATCACCTTTGTTGTCTCAAATGCTATTTTGATAGCACACACTTTTAATCCCAGTACTCAGGAGTCAGAGGCAGATAGATCTTTCTGGGTGTGAGGCCAATCTGGTCTACATAGAAAATTCTAGGCCAGCCAGGGTAACACAGGGAGACTGTCTTAAAGTGAAAGTGGGATAATATTCCACTGTGTGTATTTAATAAGTCTCTCTATCCATCATCTGTGGCCAACATTCAGGTTGACTCAGTATCTTGGCCCCTGTGACTGGTACTGGAACAAGCAGAGTGTGCATGGCTCTTTGAGACAGGGCTAACATTTCTGTTGCACACATGCTCACAAGTGGTATTCCTGGATTTCAGGTAATTCTATTTTTAATTTTTTGAGGACTTTTCCATACCATTTTTCAAAAATAGCTTTAGCAATTTGCATCCCCACCAAGAGTTTACAAGGACTCCATTCCCGCCACATTGTTCATATCTTTCCTGTAACAGCCATCCCAACAGGCATAAGATGGTATCATTGTGACTTTGACTTCCCTGCTGGTGAATGAAATCCTCTTCCCACACACCTGCCGGCTGTCTGAATGCCTTCTTCTAGGCTCTAGGCTCGTGGGCTTTTTTTTTGCTTTACCTTTTGCTATCCAGTTGCATGTGTTTCCAAAACGTTTTTAATAGCACCCCTTGTCAGATCCATGACATGTTTTCTTCTATTCCGCAGGCTGTCTCTGCACTCTAGATCATCCACCTTGCTGTGCAGAACCTTTCATTAGATGGAATTGCATTAGCCTCTGCTTCTCTCACTTGGATATGGAGTGTTAAGTCCCTCAGAGTGTTGTCTAGGTCCATGTCAAGCAACATTTTCCCTGTATTTTCTCCTTGTAGCTTCATAGTGTCAGGTCTTACATTGAACTTTTAGCTCATTTTGAGGTGATTTTTGTGTATGGTCCGAATTGCAGGTCTGTTTTTGTTCTTCTGCATGTATCTATCCAGTTTCCCCAAGATCATCTATCAGAGACTGTCCTTTCTCTAGCCTGTGTTCTTGCCACACTGTCAAGGATGGGCTAACTGTAGATGTATGGATTATTTCAGAGGTCTCCATCCTGCCTTATTGGTCTGTCTAACCTCTGACAAGGGAGTCAGCAACACAATTCCATTTTCTAGGACAACAAGAACAAAACACTTCATTTTTAAAAACAGTAATTGTCTAAAGCAGCAGATCCATCCGGTCTTTCCTCTCTTGGCACAGCTTCCTGTCTGCATTCGCATTCCTATCCCATAGCGGTGTCTGACCTGAAGTGGTAGAACAAGTCACGTGTGTGGTGATCTGTCTTCACCGTCAGTTCGACTGGACTTAGAGTCAGCACGGAAACACACCTCTGTTACGTCTGCGAGGATGTTTCCGGAGAGGTTTAACTCAAGTGGGAAGATCCACCAGAAGTGTTTGGGTGACATCATCTTAAAAGCCTGGCTGCAAACTAATCAAAAGGAGAGAGTGAGCTGAGCACCAGCGTTCATCTCTCCCTGCTTCCTGACTGTGGACACGTGTGACAGCTGCCGCGGGCTCCTGCCACCCTGCCTCCCCTTCCTTGACGCACCAGCCACAAGGTGTGAGCCAGGACAGACCCTTCGTGTTTTAAGTTGTCTCTTAGGAGGGATTTTGCCACAGCGAAGAGAAAAGTAACGAATACATGCGACTTACCCAGGAGATGAGTCTGCGTGGCCTAAAATAAAGCCACATGGTTCAAAGGCCTAGAACACACTGAGAGGAAAGAACCCTAGCAAGGCAGATGCAGGGCACTGGGATGGATTTTGCTTACTTCAAAATTGTCACCCGGGTCAGCCTTCTCTTAGAGCCTTGTCTCCAATCTGTCCTACTGGGGCCTTGGTTGCTTACTAGGAACCCAATTCAGAGACAAATATGGCTGTGAGAGGGGTGAAAGCCCTTTTGTGAGCACATCAAGCAGAATCCAGTGTGCCTATCTTTGCTAACGTGGCATCATTATGATCTGCTGGTGTTATCCACATCTCACTGTAGTTGGCAAAGAAATATAGAGTCTGGTAGAAGAAACGGTCTTAGTTTAGCACATTATGGAAACAATTGAGACTGCACTTCACACTGGCCCTCTTCTTCCCTTCACCTTCCTTTGTAAGCTCCAGATTCCTGGAGGACAAAAATCCATCTCCTCTCTTTCACACAAGGACATCCCCACGCATCCACAGGCTTCCACAGATTTTAATAAGGTCCCCTATGTGGATCTCTTCAAATGTGGACAAAATACTTAGAGTGAGAAAATGTCACATCTAATCTAGGGTGCTACAAACACAGCGTCAGGCAGACAGCTCACAAGTGGCTTGAACCAAATGGCAAGTCTTACCTGTTGGCAACCAAAATCGAAGAGACTCATTTTGGGTTCTCATTTTGGCAATTTCGACAAAATATGTGGGTTTTTAAAAGGAAGCTATATTTGATTTGGGGAAAGAGCATAACCTGCTGTAAGAGAACCTAGTGCTTTTAATATTTTTGAAAAGATATTTTAAAATGTTTTGCTGGTATCTATGTCTGTGCACCCTGTCTATGCCTGGTGCTAGTGGAGGCCACAAGAGTGAGCCAGATGCACTAGAATTGAAGTCACAGACAGTTGTGAGCCACCATGTGGGTGCTGGGAACCGTAATACCATCTTGAAAGGTCTTAGTAATAAAAAACCTGGAGTCAGATATTGGGGTGAAGGCTGAAAGATCAGAGAAACAGAACAAGCCACAGCCAACCTCACCCTGCCAACTCCTTAGTTGATTCTGTTTCCTCAGGCTGAAAACCTCTGAGTTCTCTGAAACAAAAGTATCTCCGCTGAACTGCTGCTGAAAAGCTTCTAGTTTCTGGTCCTCACGCCTTATATACCTTTCTGCTTCCTGCCATCACTTCCTGGGGTTAAAGGTGTGTGTGTCTTTCCCAGCAAAGACATGAGATCTCAAGTGCTGGGATTAAAGGTGTGTGCCACCACTGTCTGGCCTCTATGTCTAATTTAGTGGCTGGCTCTGTTCTCTGACCTCCAGATAAATTTATTAGGGTGCAGAATACACTGGGGGACACAATATCAGCACAGGGAACTGACCCTGTGTCTTCTGCAAGTGGTCTTAGCTGCTGAGTCATTTCTCCAGCCCCACTAGTGACTTTTAGTCTCCTGGAGAAAAAGTACACTTGGGACCCACAAGTGTTCCCTTTAAATAGAAATATCTAGACACACAGCATAACCACTTCTCTTTCGCATTATAGCAAACACTTTTGAATACGTGCCTGGCACATACACACTCACACACACATGTGAGTGTGTATATGTACATGCGTTTATGTGTCTGTGTGCTTCAATGGGAGGGTTTCACATGTGTGTGCATGTGAATGACAGAGCCAACTTCAGGTGTCAGTCTTTGGGAATCATCCACCTGACTTTTTGGGACCAGGTCCTCCCTGGAAGTTGGGGCCCCCATGATTAGGCTTGGCTGGCTGGCCAGCAAGTCCCAGGGATCTTACCGTCTCTGCCTCCTTCCACTGGGAATGTAAGGGCACACCACCAGACCTGGTTTCTTATGAGGGTTCTGGGGATCAAACTCAGGTCCTCATGCTCACATCAAGCGCTTTGCCAACTGAGCATCTGCTCCGACTCAGTCTCCGCTTATTACCAGTGTTTCCAGCCTCGAGTGTGTTTAAAATCAATACTGTATGTTCCACAGAGTCCAGAGCCTTTCCCAGGTCTTTAGAGAATCTAGTGTATGAGATGGAGGATTTTTTGGCTAATGCCTAGAGCGTGTGGGGTCCTCACAAATGATGAGAGTTCAGAGATGCTGATGAGCATCCTATGCTTGCTATTGTCCTCCACAACCCAGCACTGCCAGGTCCCAAATGCCATTGTACCAAGGCTGAGAAATCCTGTGGGCTTTGTTTCTGCTGAGGCATGCCGCATCACGGCCAATGCAGCCTGCTTCTCATTTGTCATGTCTTGTCTGCAGTACTGGACATGTACCTGGGCCTCGGCTGACTCCACAGGCTACCACTCTGAGATGTTGTTCTTTCTCAGACATGCTGCAGCTCCCAGCCTTGTATCACTAGGATTCTGACCCCAGAAGAACTGCATCCCTCTGTGTAGGAAACTCCCCTCTTTTCCCTCTCACATAGAAGCTTCCATGGCTTTTAATGAGAGTTTGGGAGTCAAGGAGATACATCAGGATCTGCAAGGAGGCACTGGCCATCTACTGTTCACTGACTAACTTGTCTACCTGCAGCTGCTGGGCCACATCCTTCATTTCTGGATCTCCCTAGCTTATGATGACTTTCTTTCTGGTCTCCACCAAGTTTAGCTTCATATTTATTTCAGAAATTGAATGCCTTCAGAAAGCCCTTTGCTGAACCAAAGAGACTCCAGTCTCAATATTACAAAATGTTTCACAGAAAATTCTGAATCTACTATTTAATAGAGTGTATCCTAGATCAAAATCTTAGGCTGGGGGTGGGAGCAGGGCTTGGAGGGTTGGCTCAGTGGTAGAGCACTTACTACTCTTGCAGAAGATATAAGGCTGGGGTCCCAGCACCTACATGGCAATGCAGCCATCTATAAGTTCATTTCCAGGTGCACACACATACTTTCAGGAAAACACATGCACAAACTAAACAAAATAAATCTTCTAAAAGACTTCACTCGGGGGACCCTTTGAGAGCTCGTCTGGACGTTCTGGCAGGGGAGTGCAGCGATCGTTTACCCTTGATTGAACACCTCACCTCCTCTATTTGGGGAAGGCCATTCTCTTAAACTGAACATGCAACTTCTGGAGAGCCAAACACAGAATGGTGACAAAGGGGACACTAGCCTAGCCAGCCAGATCAGCTAAACCAGCCCTGGCGACCAATGGGGTGACAGATGTTTCAGACAGCTCACCCTCACATCCAGCAAACAAGTCTTTGGAATCAAAGAGAGTAGAGATTGTGGGGTCAGAACCTCCTCTTTCATAGGAGATGTGTGTGTGTGTGTGTGTGTGTGTGTGTGTGTGTGTGTGTGTGTGTGCATAAAGACACCAGAAGCTGGAAGCAGCTCCGACCCACCACCTCCAGGGCTCTGTGTTAATACTTCAGTGTGTAAATATTGTGTTGCTTAAGAACTCAAACTATCAGGTGTGTGGGAGCTTTGAAAAGCACCCACTGAATGTCTCAAGATCAAGTTCTTTGGGGCATCTTGAAGCTGAAGCCAATGTGTCCTGCTAGGCTGGGCTCTCAGCCAAGGGACTTGGAGCAGAGTCTACCTCTACCACCCTTAAATTGCTGGCAGAATTTATCTCCTTGAAGTTGTGTATGGGAGGTCCTTGTCTGGCTACCAGATCCTATGGAATACTTTGCCACAAGGTCCTCATCTCAGAAACAGAGAATCTTTGCAGAAATTTTCTTACCTGCTACCTGTCAGGAAATACTTTACAATGTATTTTGATCATATTCGCCTCCTACTTTCCCCCCTAATTCCTCCCAGATCCACTCTTACTTCCTCATTCCTTCCAACTTTTTTCTTTCTTTTTTATAACCCACCAAGTTCAGTTTGTACTGCCCACATACTCATGGGAGTAGGGCCATCCACTAGAACATGGTCTTCCTACCAGGGGCTGGACTCCTAAGAAAACTAACTCTCCCTTGCCCAGAAGCTAGGTAGAGGAAAAGAAGTCAGGAAAGACAATATGAAATGCAGATATAAACCTAGGCATTAGAGACTCACAAGTGGATATTATTTACTAGATATGGATGGTCTAAAACATGAACCAAGTGCCATGAGCCCACAGAAAACACTACAAGAAAATGGAAAGTAGCTACTTACACTGTGTGGAGCACATCCTTCCTGGCAGACGGGAAGATCTAATCACAGGTTTAGAAGGATGAACTACATTTTGTACAGTATGATTCTTGCTGGATATCCGTGGTGAGTTATTCATTGATCTAAAAGTGTAAAAAAGAAGAAAAATGCCTGAATGGACAGCAAGGAGGAAGGAGGGAGGGAGGAAGGGAGGGAGGGAGGGAGGGAGGGAAAGAGAAGGAGGGAGAGAGAGAGGGTCATCTTTTTCATTATATATTCTGTCCAGTCCAAATATGCATAATTAATGCAAATAGTTTAATAGCATAATTTTATTAAAGACAGAAAATGTGTATTATATTTTATTAAATGTCTTTTACAAGCCTTAGGAATTAAACTTGATCTTGGTCATGCTAGCCAAGCTTTCTACTAATGAGCTATACTTCAGCCCCCAAACAACTCTACTGCCCTCATATTGCAAGTGACGCTTGGATTATGATTATGTTGCCCCACATGAAGCTGGGCATCTACAATAATATGCACACTAATTTTCCTATTTGTCTTTAATATCCAGCTGAGATCCATGGAACATGCTCACACATTTTTGAAAATAGTCAACAGCAGTATGCTTATTATTCCTCCCGTCCAAATGTTAACACCATTAAAAGAGTTATGTAAAGCTCGGGTTTATATTATGTCATCTCTGGTAGATCAAATATTACCTGGGGCACCTATGAAGTGGAGGTCTCATGTTCTTATCTTTGCAAAGACTACAAGATACCGGCAGATCACTAAAAGCAAGTTTCCAACCACAAGCCTCAGATACAGTCTCAAAATCTTGTGAAGTTGACCAGAGGTGGGTTTTTTTTTCATATAATTTCTTGAATAAATAAAAAAGAACTTATTTGAAATTAGTTGTAAGGAAAGTGGGCAGGGAATGACAAAGGTTATACTGCATGATAGGTGATTAATTTCCAAACTAAATTCTACTGCAAGAAAACAACCTTATCCTATCGGGGTTACCACTTCTTTGAAGTGTCTGAGTCACCTGTGGGTGAACTTGTACTTCAGAGACGAAGATCGATGACAATGTGTCTCTGGGTGTGTGGCTTCCTACACAGGGGACTCATTACCTTCATGGTGTAGGACTCAAGGGGAAGCCTGTGTCTCCTGGAAAGTGGTGCCTGGATTTCCCCATAACAGGCAGAGCAGTTGATTTCCTAGTGGGCTTCTAAAGACTTATTACCATTTCTTCTTCAGACAGCCATAGCTCATAGCACTGAGGAGCTTCATATGCCAAGCTTCCTGCCTAGAAGCTGATGATCTTAATGGCATAGCTTTTTCTTAAGTCCTGTTTTCCTCAGGAGAAAACATTTAAAGATCTCTTGAGGAGTTTCCCCCACAACACTCAGAGCTGATCTCATAGCCAGTATCACAGTTTCCCTTTTCTAGTCAATAACTGTGGTTATAAATTTTAGCTGATACTGTCCACTAGAAATATGAATGCATGCAAGTGAGTGAATGAATGAATAAATGTTGCCTCTTGGAAGTTCATTGTACAAGCTCCAAAATCCATCACACACCTCCATTCAATCCTCCATTAGCAACTTCTTGATCAATTTGCTATCTGGCCCCAGTTCATTATGAAAGAAAGAAAGAAAGAAAGAAAGAAAGAAAGAAAGAAAGAAAGAAAGAAAGAAAGAAAGGAAGGAAGGAAGGAAGGAAGGAAGGAAGGAAGGAAGGAAGGAAGAAAGAAAGAAAGAAAGAAAGAAAGAAAGAAAGAAAGAAAGAAAGAAAGAAAAGAGAGGGAAAGGGATAAGGAAGGGAGGAGAGGAAGTAAGAGGAGAGAGGGGGAGGGAGAAGGAAAGGGAGGGAGGGAGGGAGGAAGGCAGGTTGGCTGGCAGCCAGCAGGTAGAGGTGAAAGGTCAGTTGGTAAAGTGCTCCCCGTGCAAACATGAGGACCTGAATTCAATGCTGAGAATATGTGTACAAACCTAGGTGTGGTAGTGTGAGCTTTGATTCCACAGTTGGGAGGCAGAGTCAGGCAGATCCCTGGGGTATGCTCACCAGCCAGCCTTGATCCAGACCAGTGAGAGACCCTGCCTCAATAAAAACAAGGTGGATATCCTCTGAGCTCTGACACCTGAGGTTGACCTCTGGCCTCTATAAAAATGTGTATGTACACACACACACACACACACACACACACACACATGCACGCACGCACGTATGTAGGCACGCACGCACACATGCGTGTGCACACATACACACAGAGCAAATTTCTACTCATGAAAATTGGGATCCTCTCACGTTAGGTGGGCAGAAAGTTTTGGTAACTGTATTAGCACCTCCAACTACCAGCCTTTGATAGCTTCTTTGGTATTTACACAAATTGTTAATGTGTGTGTGGGAATACCTTTCTCTTGTTTTCTAATTTTATTTCTCCTAAAATTTGTCCACCTGTGTGTTTGCATTTCAGGGAGTTGAGTGCTTGGTTGTATAGACGCTATTGAGAACAATTTGTTCTATTAAATGTTGCAGGAGGCAGGAGTTTATTCCTGAAAATGTAAAAGGTCAACGAGCCTTCTCAGTTGTAGGATTAGTTGTCTCTCTTTTCAGCAGCTTGGGAAGTTTGTGACCCTTCACCTACAATCCAGGATGTATTATATCAAAGAACTTATCATTGTCAATTAATAAAGGTAAATTTGACATAGAAGAGAGAACTTGCGTGGCCCAACACAATTCTTTGTCCAGTGTTGTCCAGGGAAGCCTAAAGTCTGGACTTTCCAGTCAAGTGTTTTGTTTCCTCTGACCAAAGCCTCCTCCCTGTGGACTAGCTTCATAGTACCAGAAGATGCTACAAAGACTGCCAAGGGAGAAGAGCAGTCAATAGTCCTGCCTGCCCAGCTGTGATGCATACAACCCACAACAGTGGCCAGCACACCAGGATATCCCTAAAGGTGCAATGTGGCCTTCTATCCCAGTGATAACCACAACTCTATAATTGGACTTAAGACTTGCTCGTTAGGAGGGAAATCATGCCAGGTACTGTAAACTTAGCAACTACTCATGGCTGGCGAGGTCATGGAACCTACAGGAGAGCCTACCACTGCCACTTTGCCAAATTAGCACAATTTCTAGCTGTATGCTAAATAAATATACATCCCGATACCCACAGATAAATGTAGCTCTCACCCCTCATCAAAGAAGCTTCCTTTTCCAGAAGATGGAGACCATTAAAGGGATTCTCAAGATGCACAGGACAACTGACTGTGGCGTGCCAACTCCAATGACACATCTACAACACAGTCGTTACACTTAAGACTCAAGGGACATCAAGAAGAAGGGGGCAGATTTTAAGAGGGCCAGGACGTCCGCTATGATATAGTGTGTTCTATACACAACAGGGAGCTATACCCATGAAATCTCAACAACAGGCTGCTGAAACAGGACCTGCACAATACTGCCACCGCCAGCGTGGATGGGGGAAACATCTCGGGGGCCCTACCCCTAGATGAAGAGCTGTAGGAAGCTAATGACCACCGACAGGGAGAATATGTCTTCCCCAGGGATGAGCCTCCTGATCGTTTATCCAATCCCTGGTGGTCAACCCTAAAACATGTACATACTGAATGGACTCAGGAGGTTGTATTTATATATTTGTACATACACACTCATGCATGTAACAATAATTAAAGAAAAAGGGGGCCATGAATTTGAGAGGGAACAGGGTGGAGGCATGTCAAGAGTAAGAGGGAGAAGAGAAAAGGGGGAAACAATGTAAATATAGTACCTATAAATTAAATTCTCAAAAAATGGTAAATAAAAATAGATATACAATTTTAAAAGGCAAATTTAAAAACTGGAGGACAGTCCTTCCCAATAGACTGGCACCCCCACCCGAGTGTGATCAAAGCTCTTGCACTGGGCATCCACATTGACTTGGAAGCTATAGTTTCCTTGAGGTTGAAACTCAGAAGCAAAAAAGAAAGCTAGATCCCATCACAACCGAGGGTGGAAAAGGAGACAGGGGGAGCTGGCGAGCTGGCTCAGCACTTCAGAACACGGGCTGCTTTTTCAGAGGACCCATGTTTGGTTCCCAGCACCCACATGGCAGCTCACAACTGTCTGTAATTCTAGTTCCAGAGGATCTGGCACTCTCCTCCATCTCCATAGATATTAGGCACACATGTGGTGCACACACATACATGTAGGCAAACCACCCATATACATAAAAATAAATAAATCTTAATTTAAAGAAAAAAGAAACAGAAGGGCCTTATTGGGCAGAAACCACCAACTCTCCCTTTGTTCGGGTTTGTGGGGAATTGTATCAGCAGGCCCAGCCCACGTTCTTCCCAAAGAGAAAACATCAGGAACAGCACTGCAGGGCACCAGGACATGGACCAGGGCAGATCTTTAAAGGCCCTGCTCCCCTACTCACTGTCCTGACAGGAAGTTTCAGCACCTGGCACGTGACATTTAACTTCGCCTCCTCCAAAAGGGCACCCAGAGGACATTACCTGCCAGTTCCCAAGTTTCTCAGGACTTGAACTCATATGAGAGCAAATGGCAAGTCACACACATTTTACTCACCTCCACCCACACAGGGAAACAAGTTGAATTTAGGCTGTAGGCCACAGCACTGAACATTACCGTGAAAGTACTCATGCCCAGAACTCCCCGTAAATGAGAGCACAGTGGAAATTTGTGCTGACCAAAGCGGCTAACACCAACCACGGTGCCAGCCCCTGGCTTTTAGCTGGATATGAATGTGCCCATTCCATCCTTATAAAAATGCCATGATAGAGCTGGAAAGATGGTCCAATGCATTGGAGCGCTGGCTGCTTTTGCAGAGGGCTATGTATGGTTCAGGACTTGGACTCACCAACAACCACATGATGCTCACAACCATCTGCAACTCCACTTTCATGGGATCAGATGCCCTTTTCTGGCTTCCACAAGCACTGCACACTTTTGGCACACAAACATGCCGGCAGGCAAAACAACCACACAGATAAAGTAAAACTAAGTGAAAAATCAAAAAAGAGAAACACCCTATAAGGTAGAGAGAGACATGGAGAGTTAGCTTGCCTCAGATTACAGTGCTGCCCAAAGAAAACGGGAAACCTGACTCCTAACCCATGCTCTTCAATGTATTCCTCAAGCTTTACTGTGCGCGCGTGTGCGTGTGTGTGTGTGTGTGTGTGTG